GGAACACTGGTGGTGGAAAATGTGCACTGGTGGAGGGAGAGGTACTAGATCACTCTGACTGAAATGTGATCACGAAGTCTGTAAGTCTGTAACTGCACATCATGATGACTCATTAAAAGACTTAAAAAAATAAAATAACCAAAAAAGAACAAAGTATCCAGAAAATAGAAGAAAAATTAGAATGTAACAGACACTCAGAATGCACTGTATCGAGAGCATTCTTTAAAGCTCTAAAAAGTTCTATATGAGAGCCGAAGAGATAGTACAGGAGTTAATGCACTTGCCCTGCACGCGACTCACCCCACTTCCGGTCACGCCCTGTGCCCAAGCCCTGCCAGGAGTGATGTCTAAGCACAGTCAGGCATGGGCACCCCGAATACATAAATGAAAAGCACTAATATGAGAGCCGGGCAGACATAACATAGAGCCGGCACACGTTGCATGCAGGAGCCCCGGTTCAAACCCCCACAGCAAATGCCCTCACCACCCCCACTCCGTAGTTACCCAGGAGGAAGGCCTGGAAAGACCTCCAACCAAACAAAACAAGCCCAAAAAATCACCAGCACACGAGGAAGACTGTTAGACCAGAGAAAGAAAAATCAAGCAAAAAAGCTTAGGCACACGTTCTTCATAAACTATTCACATAAATATTAATCGTAAGATATGAACATGGAAAACAAAGTTAAAATGATACAGAAAGATTGTTTTGGTTTTTTGGCTTTTTTGGGGGGGGAGGGGTCACACCCAGCGATGCACAGGGGTTACTCCTGGCTCTGTGCTCAGGGGACCATATGGGGTGCTGGGACTCGAACCTGGGTCAGCTGCGTGCAAGGCAAACGGCCTACCCTCTGCACCATCACTCCAGTCCATTTTGCTTTTCTGACTTTGGGCAATACCTGCTAGTGCTCAGGCTAGTGCTAGGGAAATACCCTCCTTGTTTTACTATCACTCCAGCCCCGGAAATACTGTTACTTGAACTCGACTATTCTGATCACTGGACTTCGTTTTTGTTTTGTAGTCGCACGTGGCTGACAGTATTCAGGGGCTACTCCTGGTACTGCTTAGGGGACCAGGAGATGCTACAGCTCAGTATCTGGCCTCTAGCAAGCAAAGCATGCAATCCAGCCCACCAAACTCTCCCCAGCCCTCATTTAAAGGCTGTCATAATATTTAGTTTATAAATTTTTTAACTTACTTAAAAAACTTATAAACTAAATATTTACTTGCTTTTCAGTATGAAAGTTTACTTGACTCAACTTTTCAGTATGAAGAGTTTCTACATATTCTCCAAGTGCCTGACCCGCTGTACTCTGCCCCCACCCCAGCTCTTCCAGCTTTTAACAGGAGCCCCCTCTTTACTCACGATTATTTCATACAAACGACTCTCATTACATATATTTATGCCGATTAAGGTCTTACACACTAATTTGTTCCAATTATTTCACAACTTTTCTCTCCGCATAACTAGAATCTTGAGGGCAGAATGAGCCGAGTAGCATTCGTACAGAGAATACTTCATCATGTACTAAATGGTGATCAAGGGTCGAAAACTGGACAGACTACCCCATAGAGTCAAAGAACTCACCAACTTAAACCAAGCACTACTTCTGTTTGTGTGTGTGTGGGGGTGGGGGGGCACACACCCTGCAGTGCTCAGGGATCACTCCTAGCAGCTTTCAGGACTGAAACCGGATCAGCTGCACAAAGGCAAGCGCCTTGCCCACTGTCGTATCTGTCTCTCTGGCCCCAGCAGTGCTATTTCTTTAATCCCCAACACCCAGGTCTTGGTCATAACTAATACCAAAATAGTGGTTAAGTTACCATTTCAGAAGATTCCAACTATTTGTTCTATTTGATTTGATATTTGCTTCAGTGGGCTGAAGCGATAGCACAGCAGGTGGGGCATCTGCCTTGCACGCGGCCGACATGGCTGACCTGAGTTTGATTCCTCTGCCCCTCCCAGAGAGCCCAGCAAGCTACCGAGAGTATCTCGCCCACATGGCAAAGCCTGGCAAGCTCCCCGTGATGTATTTGATATGCCAAAACACAGTTACAAGTCTCACAATGTTACTGGGCCCGCTCAAGCAAATCGATGAACAATGGGAGGACAGTGACAGTGACAGTGATTTGCTTCAGTATTTCTTGGCTATGAGAAAGTCACTTCACAAACCCTAATATAGTTGGGACAGAAAAGGGACCACTATGACAATGACAGTTGGAAATGATCACTCTGACAAGAACTGTGTGCTGAAATGAGGTAGAGTGATATACAATAACCTTTCAGTACCAGTACAGCAAACCATAATCCCAAAAAGGAAAGGAAAGGAAGGAAAGGAAAGGGGGGGGGGGGAGAGAGAGTGAGAGAGAGAGCGCGAGAGAGAGAGAGAGAGAGAGAGAGAGTGAGAGAGAGAGCGCGAGAGAGAGAGCGCGCACACACGAGCGCCACAGAGGCAGGCTGGGGGAACATTATATGACTGAAACCCAATCGTGAACAACTTTGTAACTGTGTATCTCACAGTGATTCAATAATTTTTAGGGGCTGGAGAGATAGCACAGCGGGGAGGGCATTTGCCTTGCATGCAGCTGACCTGAGTTCAATTCCCAGCATCCCATATGGTCCCCTGAGCATCTCCAGGAGTAACTCCTGAGTGCAGAGAAAGGAGGAAGCCCCGTGCATCGCCGGGTGTGACCCAAAAAGCAAAAATAAATTAATTAATCAAATAAATAAATAAATAACTTTTAAAAGCCCTAATACGAAGAATAAACCAGTGATGACCATCTCTCTTAATTTTGTAAGAATGCATCGTCTAAAAGTTTTCTATAGTCAAGCTGCAGTTGGTTGAGCACAAACCTGAGTGTGTGAAAGAGACCAAGTAATCGGACAGATTTTGCTTCCAAGATCTAGTTCAAGTGACCCAATCACGATCTAGTCATTTCAGTAATGCGGTCACGCTCACGGTCCTCCCGCTGTTCGTCGATTTGCTCGAGCGGGCCCAGTAACGTCTCCATCATGAGACTTGTTGTTACCGTGTTTGGCATATCGAGTACGTCACGGGGAGCTTGCCAGGCTCTGCCGTGCGGGCGAGATCCTCTCGGTAGCTTGCCGGGCTCTCCGAGAGGGACGGAGGAATCGAACTCAGGTCGGCCATGTTGGCTGCATGCAAGGCAAACGCCCTACCGCTGTGCTATCGTTCCAGCCCTTCAATAATGCAATTTCAAGAAATGGGTTTTTATGCCCTTGTGGATCCCACAAGCCCCACCAGGAGTGATCTCTTGAGTGCAGAGTCAGGAATGGGCCCTAGCATCACTGGGTGTGACCCAAGACCATAATAAAAAACAAGAAATTAAACAATGCCATAATAGGAGGGGTTACATGTAACTATTCCACTCCTTTGAAGCAATGATTCCTTCCTGGTGGACAGCTCTCATCACTTCTTTGCCATCTATTTATATACCATCCTTTCAAAACCAAAAAACTTCACATACTTTTTAGTTTCGCTTTATTTTTTGCTCAGGGGTCAACTGCAGTGCCAGGAACTAAAAGCATGCCCTCAGTCCACTGAGCTAAATCCCAGGTCCCTTTACATATTTTTATAAAATGAAGCAATGAGGGGCTGGAGAGACAGCACAGTGGGTAGGGCGTTCGCCTTGCACGCGGCTGACCTTGGTTCGATTCCCAGCATCCCATATGGTCCCCTGAGCACCACCAGGAGTAATTCCTGAGTGCAGAGCCAGGAGTAACCCCTGTGCATCGCCAGGTGTGACCCAAAAAGCAAAAAAAAAAAAAAAGAAAAAGAAAATGAAGCAATGAGGGTCAGAGCAATAGTAAAGAGGGTAAGGTGTTTGCCTTGCACACAGCTGACCTGGGTACAATTCTCTGCACCCCATATGGTCCCCCGATTACCTCCAGGAGTGATTCCTGAGCACAGAGCTAAACCCCTGAATGTGACACACACCCCCAAAAAAAAAGGGCACTAAAACTATCTCATCAAGTATTCTGAAATTTCTCCCTACTTAATATATTTTAGTTTTTCCTTTTTGGTCCCAGGACCCAGGGCCTCACACACGCAATGTTTATATATTTTGACTTAGTCTGTCATCAGTGCCTATAACACACATTTACACACACACACACACACACGAAAAAGAAAAAAAAACAAATATATTCATCAACAAGAAAAATAATAAAACCAACTCTAGATTATCCAAACTAAGAACAGCCGGGAAGACATACTCCAAAAATAATTTAGAAAGAATTTGAGTGTCTTTTTTGGCAGAAGATTCATTTTTCTAATTATATTTTCACTTTGCTCAGTATTCTCAAGCGTATACCAGCGTGGGAGAGGAATAAAAAAGAGGAGCCTGAACAAGTACAAAACATAAAGACAAGCAAGAGTCAACGGCTGCTCAGGATCTGCAGGGCCTCACGGAACAAGCTGCTAAGCAAATGTCTAGCCTTAATCGAACTGCTTACAGTTGTCAATTAATTCTGAAGGTTTCCAAACAAACCTAAAAATGAGTATCTAGGTTCTACTACTTGCAAGCCTGAAGATGCATGCTTACTAATTCAGTGGCTGAAAGCGTTTAAGAAGGAATAAGAAGACGCTAGAGATACAATACAGCAGGCCGAGTGTTTGCCTTGCATATGGCCAGGCAAGGTCCATTCCCAGCAACTCTGAGCCCTGCCAGGAGTAATCACTGAGCAGAGTCAGGAGGAATAAGCCATAAACACAGCCACGTGTGACCCCCACCCCCCAAAAAAAACATGAAAAGGGACATCAAGGACTCCTGAAAATCAGATGAAATACTCAATAATCAATGTTCCACACAACCTAATGGGGAATGCGAGATCACCAGGAGTCCACAAAAATAGATCTATGCATCATCTCAGGTTAAAATAACAGGCACAAAGGGTCCCAATGCAATGGAGCTATGAAGAAATAAAACGTACTTTGCTAAGCATCAAGGCTAGTTCTGTGCGTGAAGTGTACTGTCCTTACCATATGGTCCCAAATTTCTCCAGAGCCTCCACAAGATCAGCTTCCACCACAGATTCACAGAGTCCTCGAACATGGACAACAGGGGACACCGAGACTTTATGATGGCTTCCACCAGCCTCCTAACAAGACAAAAAGAATTCTGAGTTTAAAATTTGTAGCACTTATATAGGCTTCTTTCTGATGTGTAGACAAAAGACTCTGAGATGTGTACAAAAACAATACTATTTTGCAAGCCAGAATGCAAATTCAGTATGAGTCCCGATACAGTTAAGGACCAGCCAGTGGGCCCTCAGACACAGTGGGCAGGGCTCTGGCCTTCCATGTGGCTGACCTGGGTTCTATCCCAGCATCACATATGAGGCCCCAAGACTGCCAGGAGTGATCCCTGAGCACTGCTGCGTGTGGACCCAATACCAACACAATTATTTTATTGTTTCCCAGCCGTGCTGGGGGAGGAGGGGGCAAGAGGGGGTTGTTATACCTCAAAGGGTCTCAGGGGTTGGGGTTGAAAAGATAGTTATAGTGGGCAGGGTGCTTGCCTTGCACGCAGCAGACCCAGTTCAATCCCTGTTATCCCAGATGGTCCCCAGAGCACCTCCAGGAGCAATAACTAAGCACGAGGTGGTCTGTGTAATCCCCAGCATCCCAGGGCCGAGCAACAGTCTTGCCTGCTCATACTGAACCACTCTCCGGTTGGCCAAGAATCCTGTGAGTGATCCCTGGGAGCCTGAGCACAACTTGGGAAGCCCCCACCCTAAATAGTGCAAAAGAAAATGAGCTTGAGCCCTTTAAAAGTTACCACCAAAACACAGTGTTAGAGAGTGTCAACTGAAACTAAAGCGAGTCAATAACTGAATGGATTATATAAACATTCATTTTGAAATAGATAAAAACTGCTATACTAGAAGCCGGAGCGATAGTACAGCGGGTAGGGCGTTTGCCTTGCACACGGCCGACCCAGGTTCGATTCCCAGCATCCCATATGGTCCCCTGAGCACCACCAGGAGTAGCTCCTGAGTGCGTGAGCCAAGAGTAAAAGCTGCACATCGCCAGGTATGACCCAAAAAAGCCAAAAAAAAAAAAAAAGAAAAAACAACTGCTATACTACTATTTGCCTTACAAGCGTGAGACCCTGGGTTAAATGCCCAGAAAACAAACAAACAAAAAAAAAGAAGAACAAAAAAAGTAAAATATAAACTGCTATAACAGACATCTTATGGGACAACTGGGAAACTCTGAAGACAGACAGTACATTATATAATGAAGTTATACTTTTGTTTTGTTTCCGTTTGGAGGTCAGAACCAGCTAGAGGTGCTCCAAGTCCACTGGTGCTAGAGGGTCAGGCCATTCCCAGCAGTGTTCAGGGAACCACAGGGTGCTGTGGCTCAAAGTCAGGCCTCCCACAAGCAAAGCAGGCACTCAGCCACTAAAATTCACCCTTTCAAAGCACCATGCTAAGTATCTGATTCCTAAACTGGTGACTAAATCGGCATGGTTTACACTTTACTCATATTAATATTTTGGTCAGGTCTTCTCCCACCCAAAAGGGTTTTTTAAAATCATTTTTCACACAGAAGCCCAAATTCTTTCCATTCAAATGTTTAGTTACCTAGACTCTCTCCTGTTCTATTTTTATCCTTTACTTACCACACTAGAAATAGATTCCAAGTTAAATACTCAGCAGATGAAGACATGCCTGCAATTAATACTTATTTTTCTTTGTTCATTACTCAACCCCTTCTTTTAGATCAACTGTATCAACCATAATAGAGGTATTATTTGGTCTCCAATAATCTAATAATAATCATTCAAAATTCCCAGAGCCTCAAAGGGCAAACTCTAATAAATAGTGTCAACCTTAGGGGCAGAAAGGTAGCTCAGAGGATTCAAGCACATGCTTTGCACGTAGAAGACCCGATTCAAATTCCTGACTCTGCATGGTCCCTCTGGAGCACTGCGTCGTAGTCCCTAGCATCTCTGGTCTCTGGATAAGGTCAAAAACCAAAGGATTGGGGGGGTGGGGACACATATGATGAAATTTAGAGACACTCCTGGTGGTACTGAGGGGACCATCTGCTGTCCCAAAGGTTGAACTGGGGTTGGCCTGTGCAAAGCAAACACCTTATATCCTAACTCTCTGGCCCTAAAGAACATCAATCTTAGGGGCTAGAGCAATGGCACAGCGGGGTAGGGCTTTTGCCTTGCACGCGGTCAACCTGGGTTCGATTCCCAGCATCCCATATGGTCCCCTGAGCACCACCAGGGGTAATTCCTGAGTGCAGAGCCAGGAGTAACCCCTGTGCATCGCAGGATGTGACCCAAAAAGCAAAAAGAAAAAAGACCATCAATCTTAACTGTTAATTCTGACTATATAGATCAAAGATTAGGCTCCAAGAAGAGTAGGGAGGCTTAAGATAATATAAATGAAGCTTCTGAGAGGAAATTCCTCTCAGAAGGGCCCATTTGCATCTCTTATATAGTAAGACAAAGATGTCATTGTATACTCACAAAGACCAACACTATACTCAGAAAGTGGCCTTTGCTTTCCTGACATTATCATGCTGAAAATTGGAGCAATCTGGGGTTGTTGTGATAGCACAGCAGGTAGGGCGTTTGCCTTACACTCCGATTCCCAGCATCCCATATGGTCCCCTGAGCAGCGCCAGGGGTAATTCCTGAGTGCAGAACCAGGAGTAACCCCTGTGCATTGCCGGGTGTGACCCAAAAAGGGGGAAAAAAATTGAGCAATCACCTAACTAAACAATCAGTTCTGCCCCTAGAACCTCCATCATAACTCCCCAATTACAAACACACAGACTCATAGCTGATTCTGCCTAGCCTCTCCTCAAACACCTCCAATGATAGGAAACACCCTAGTTTGTGAAAACAATCTGCTAGTTTTGGTTTGTGGGTTCTGTGTGTGCACCACACCGAGCTATGCTCAGGGCTCACTCCTGGCTGTGTGCAATCCTGAGAGGACCACATATGTGGTGCAGGGAGAGCTGCTTGCAAGACAAGCACCTTAACCCCTGTATCTCTCTCAGGCCCCAGAGTTTCACTATTTAAAAGAAATAGTAACAATAATCGTCCTTGGAGCCAGAGCAGTATAAAGTAAGGTGCCTGCCCGCTTTGCATAGGGCTGACCTGGGTTCAATCCCCAGCATCCAATATAGTCCCCCCAACCCCAGACAGGAGCAATCACTGAGTGCATAGCCAGGAATAAGCCCTGCGCATAGCTTTGTTCCCCAAAAACAAAAACCAAACAACTAAATCTGGGGCAGGAGAAATTAGTGGCAGGGCGCTTGCCTTGCATACAGCTGACAGATTCAATCCGTGGCAACTTGTATGGCCCCCAAGATCACCAGTAATGAGCAGAGTCAGGAGTAAGCCCTAAGCACCACATGGTGTGGCTCCCCCAAACCAAAAACTAAATCTTTATCACATGAGTGATTACAATAATTGTAGCACTGTCCTCCCGTTGTTCATCGATCTGCTCGAGCGGGCACCAGTAACGTCTCCATTGTGAGACTTGTTACTGTTTCTGGCATATCGAATAAGCCACGGGGAGCTTGCCAGGCTCTGCCATGCGGACAAGATACTCCTGGTAGCTTGCCAGGCTCTCCAAGAGGGGCAGAGCAGTTGAACCCGGGTCAGCCGTGTGCAAGGCAAACGCCCTACCCGCTGTGCTATCGCTCCAGCCCACGATAATTGTACCAAATATACAGTAACTAGCAGGGTTAGATATTGCTCCTAAATAGAGGTTCAGTGGCTACTTTGGTTTGGGTATTGTGGGGGATTTTTGGTTCATGGGTAACACCCTTGGTGCTCAACTTACTCCTGGCTCTGCACTCAGGGATCAATCACATGGGGTGCTGGGGATTGAGCCCAGGACAGCCACATGCAAGACCCTACCCACCGAACGATGGCTCTGGCCCCTCTGCACTCCCTCCCTGTCGCTACATTTCCCTTCCAGTTTTTTTTTTTTGCAGTGATTTTTTTGGGAGGTGTGGCTATGCAAGCACATTGGACAGTGCGCTCAGGGGCTTGGGGACCCATATGGTGTCCAGTATCCAACCTGAGGCTCCCATATGTAAAACATACACTCTTCTTCCATCACCTTCCCACACCGAAGTTCACCCCACCATTCTTGTCATTCTTTTTTAACATTCCTATCAATCATTCTGTGATTTTTAGTGTCTACTCTATCTTCCTCTAGTATTAAAATTCATCAAAGTTGGGGCTGGAGAGACAGCACAGTGGGTAGGGCGTTTGCCTTGCACGCAGCTGAGCCGGGTTCAATTCCCAGCATCCCATATGGTCCCCTGAGCACCGCCAGGGGTAATTCCTGAGAGCAGAGCCAGGAGGAACCCCTGTGCATCGCCGGGTGTGACCCAAAAAGCAAAAAAATAATAATAATAAATAAAATTCATCAAAGTAGTACCAAGAAATGAGTCTATCCAGGAATGCAAGACTCTCTTTGACTGTGGTGAGTTTATGCAAACTAAAGAGGACTTGTGTTTTTTTCTCTTCCCCTTTATTGCTGTTGCTGAGATGACTGTGGGTTCAATTCACGTTCTCTTGGGGTTTCACTCCTTTAAGTCACAGAGCTCAACTGGAGTGTATCAAGTATTCACACACGAGCTTGCTGAGGACACACAGTGCGGGTGTTCGCCAGGGGTCACACACACTAGTCACAGTGCTCTTACACACCTGGCGGTCACCAGCAAACACAGTCCTAGTGCCGGGACAGTGCCTGCTGCACGTGTAAGATCACACTCATGCTCTCACACCTGCAGAGGGGGTGCCAGAAGTCACTGAGCTATCCACAGGCCCAGGAAAAAATGGTTTTAAGGGGCAGCTGCAAAGATTTTTGTAAACTCCTACTATGTCGGAGTTGACTTTTTTTTCTTACTAAATAACAAAATTACGAATCTTGTGAAAGGAAAGAAAGCACAGGGGCTAAGGCATGACCCAGCCACAAGGACACCAAGAGCACAGCAGTTGTAGCCCTCCCCCATCCGCCCCCATTAGAACTTTTTGCTTTTCCATTTTTGGACGTCTTGGTTGCATTTGGGAGATCACGTGGTGTCAGGGTTATAGAGCTCAGGGATTCCACGC